ATGCATCACAACATGTTTCTCTTTACATTGGATGATGAATGAACCGCTATCATTTCTTTTTGCCCAAGTGTTTGATAAAGCAATTCTGAAATACTCGGATCGTGCACAGAGAATTTGTGAGTGAGCATGTATCTCTGGCTCGGTGTTGATGATGACATCAGTGTCTTCTTCACGATTGAAGTACTCCATAAAATCATTTGATAATGTTCCCTCGGGCATCCTGTTCATAAGCATTCAGGTTAAACCTTGAGTTGTTGTATATATAGTTTACAAGGTAAGACAGTTGTTCATGTGATACAAAACATCGAATAGTCTATTTAAGCGAATGTTCCATTTGCACGTTATCCGCAAATATTTTTCTCAAATATAAATAAACACGATGGTTACATCACATGAAAAGAACATCTCGATCAATAGTGGTTCGGTGAAATGCATACACAACCTGTGGCATGCACTAAACGAGGAAGAACGGGGCATGGCGATTAATAATTTTTGCGTGAAATTAGAAACTGGTGATCTGTACTCTAGCAGCTACGTGCAATCCGTGAAGAGAGAATACAACATGCTGCTCAGAGAAAAGTTTGATACAAAACTAATCTGGGTATCACTTCGGATCTTTTACATGCTCTCCGTGACAGAAAATCACAAAAAGTACATAAACACGTTTCTGGTAGAATTTGTAAATTGCACGAAAAATGCAAGAAAGCAGCAACAAGATATAATTAGCGAAGTGGTATCGCAACATTTCTGGGAAACATTTCAAGAGATGGAGATGCGAGATCTTTTTTTCATCTATATTCGACCATGTTGTCTCAAGGAAGGGGCAGCATACCTCTTACATCTTCTCGATGAGCTTGTGTTGAACATCGTGAAAAAGAATGGGTTGGTGAATGTTTATAACATGATCGGAATAGAGGAGTCAGCACGGTTGTGCATGTGGTATTTTAACCTGGCATCTGATTTTTACCCATGGGTTGAGTATGAGCATGTTGACAACAAATTTTCATTCGAGTATAACGGTGAATGCATGGCTTGCATCGAAGGGTTTACCGATAGTTGCGGTGTTAAAAAGCGAACAATGGCACATGAACATACCACATACGTGGGAAAATTAAAAAAGATATTCATAGTCTACGGGTCTAATTATCAGCCAATTGAAATTATTACACGTGAACCAATCATCAAGGCAAGAAACACGAGATATGATCTGTGCGCATTGCGTGAATCACTCGAGAAAGAATTTTGGGAGCTCAAGAGATTTCTTAATTACAACAGATGCGTGTACTATTTCGATTACAAACATAACGATACATTCACGATAGATGATTACAAATATTTTTTCTTTCCAATACAAACTTGTTAAC